GTGAATCAATCTCATTATTATGATCTTATCACGATCCGATTTTCATTGCACAGATCCAAGGACATCACAATATATACATGCATATATGCAATAGTTAATATAAAGTAATAAATGCCAAAATATAATAAGCAAAAAGATTCTATGTCAAGTCACACGTGTCATCACTCACGTGATTAGCTTGTTGGGCACCTATGACTAGCAATCTCCCACTTGACCTAAAGTCAATCACCTATATGTCTGATCCCTATCAGACCCCTGTGACGCTCAAAGATAATCTGAGACAACGACTTTGTCAGTGGATCTGCAATGATATCTTCGGATGGAACTCTTTCCGCTGCTACATCTCCTTGGGTTATGATCTTTCTGATCAGGTGGAACCTCCTCAGAACATGCTTAGATTTCTGATGAGACCTGGGTTCCTTCGCTTGAGCAATCGCCTCGTTGTTGTCGCAATATAAGGAAATCAGCTTCTCGCTACCTGGCACGACTCCCAGATCTATGATGAACTTCTTCACCCAAACTCCCTCCTTTGCTGCATTTGCTGCAGTAATGTACTCCGCCTCTGTAGTCGAGTCAGCAATAGTATCTTGCTTAGAACTCTTCCAGCACACTGCTCCTCCATTCAAGGTGTACACATACCCCGAATTCGACTTGCTATCATCGACATCAGACTGAAAACTTAAGTCCGTGTAGCCTTAAACCCAGAGGCTACTACCTCCATATACTAATAAAAGATCCTTAGTCCTTCTCAAGTACTTAAGGATACGCTTTACTGCTTTCCAGTGCTCCAAGCCTGGATCCATTGCCCATCTTGAGGTCCATCTCGCCTCTCTCTAGTCTCCTAGGCCTTGTTAGAACCTATAATAAATTATAGATGTGATAAGCAATACCGGTATCCAATACCAATGTGTTATCATAAGAGTTTGACAAATGGAGACTGATCATGAATGTACCTGAAGCTTCTCCAAGCTTCTATTTTACCCTTTCTGTGAGGTACTCTTTGCAGTTCCTATTCCAATGCTCATCTTTGCCATAGTGGAAGCACTGACCTTTGTTCTTTGCTAGGTCTTTCTTAGTAACCTTTGTTTTACCTAGTCTGCCTTTGCCCTTGCCCTTCTTAAAGGACTTTTTTGCTTTCCTTTTCTTTCTGGTCTCACCAATGTAGAGAATTGGCTTCTCTTTCTTGATAGTACTCTCTGCCTCCCTCAACATATTGAGGAGTTCTGGGAGAATCACCTCAAGCTTGTTAATATTAAAATTCATTATGAACTGTGAAAAGGAATCTGGTAGGGATTGAAGCATAATGTCCACACACAAGTTAACCTCTAGGACAATTTCTAGACCTATAAGTTTCTCTATCCACTCAATCATCTTTAGGACATGGTTCTGAACCGGTGTCCCCTCAATCATCCTAGCACAAAAGAGACTCTTGGATATCTCATATCGCTGAGTCCTTCCCTGTTCCTCACACAATTTGCGGACATGTAGGAGAATAGATCTGGCATCTATCTTTTCATATTATCTCTATAACTGAGGAGTCATAGAGCCCAACATGTTGCACTAAGCAAGAGTGGAGTCATCAATGTACTTCACGTAGCGAGCGATCTCATCCTCGCTCGCCCCTTCCTCGAGCGTAAGCATCACTGTATCAAGGACGTACGCGATTTTCTCCATCGTGAGAACAATTCTCAAGTTACGGAGCCAATCCCTATAATTTGGACCAGTGAGACGGTTGACATCAAATATGCCACGTAAGGGATTTGAAAGTGACATTTTCTAAAAATAAAGATGCAGCAAAAATGAATAACATGTAGATTTTGCAAGAAATAAACAATCAAGATATTGACTTTTATCTTAATATGCTCCTACTATTTTACTAGCGAGTCACGCGACACCCTTAGCACATGAAACGGAATTCTCCGATAGACTTTTAGTGGGGATCAGAATCCAATCAACGTCTTAGTGTAACCTCGAGGGACTCGACCAATCACACTAAGCCCAAAAGGTAGACAACTCTTGCCGATCACAACTCATTGTGATTCTCGTCCTGTTCGGCCTCCAAATCACCATGGTCTCGAGGGACTCGACCAACCATGATGTTCGATTAAGTCAACACCTTCGTTACAAGATGAGTATGATTTGATGATATACCTCGAGGGACTCGACAAAGTATACCATATCCTCAGGTCATCAGTGACATCTCTATGTCGTAAGCAAGATAGCGAATCGCGATATAGGTAAGCCTCGAGGGACTCGACCAACTCAACCTATACCGGGAATCAGTTCCTACCTATAACAATGGAAGACTATGTGGGTCAATCTAATTGCATCACGTTTACCAACTTAATATTATCGAGAGAGAGGTTTCTATGATTTGGTCTCCTAATATGACATGTCACACATATACATATTTAATATACATCTACATCGGATGCAAATATATATACATATCTAGTATGTGTATAAGCAATCATATAAGATGATCATGGACCACAACCTAATGTGATCAGGCCCGAGCCAGTAGGCCTAATCACTCACATCAAGATCTATGTGTGCAACGGTGCATCTCCATGCCCTGTGAACATCCATCTCGTCCTCGTCGGTTTCGTCGACATCTCGATGTATCTCCATGCTTTGCAATCATCCATCTCGTGGGTCCCGCTATCGCATCCATGCTCCCACTGCGCCTCCTCATATGATTACAACTTAATCATAGGCACACAGGCCCAACAATAAATAAGAAATATAATGGAGGCTCACAGACCCCAATAATAATAATCGCAAGTACACACATCACACGGTCCATGATCATCCGTCCACACATCAAATATCACATGTATAAATCATTATCATTGTAGGACTACTAGATAATAATAAAAAATAATAATCAACTAAAATATTTAATTAATTAATATTTTTTGAAATCAGGGATATGTACGGAATTTATGAATTCCTAGGGGTATTTTTATAATTTGGACAAAAGACAGAAATTGGAATTTCTCAAATTTGTAACTTGCGCATGCGTCGGCATTGTGTTGCTTGGCTGCGACTGTCGCTGCAGGTGGTTGCAGGCATGCAGATCAAGGGCAATAACTGTTGCTGCCCTTCCTTGTTTTTGCGTTAATGATTTTGACATCAAAATTCTTCCTAAACACAATACACGCAGTGTAAAAACCAATCATTCGCACAAACAACCTAGCTCTGATGCCACTATTAGAAAATCTTGTGGGGCGACATCATATGCTCAGCAAAAGAACAAGAAAACAAAATCCCCAAATTCTCAAAAGATGTTCGTCGTCGTGCGAAGATTGATGCGCAAAAATCCGCGAAATAAACTACATATAGAATAGATTGTGCTACCTAAGGAGATTGTATATCCTTATTTCCTTGCAGATCTTTAGGAGAGGGTGAAAGAGGTCAAGCATCCTCCTCTCTAGTGGTGATCCACACAATAGGGCTGCAACGATGCTCCTCAAAACTCCAGGCTAGCTCTGAGGTGGAGAGGGGGAGGAGAATAGAAGAGGCAAGCAAAGGCTCTAGCCTATGAACTACTGAATCCCTCCTATTTATAGAGGTCACCTGTCAAACCCCAATGGATCCTCCCTTAGTGGGTATTGGATCTACATCCAATTATTTAAGCCGTTTAGATTAGTAGATCTCTATCCAATAATCTCTCATGGGCTCTTATTGGATCTTATTCATGGGATCTAATAATTCATAGGCTTATTGGATATCCAATAAGATAGTGGCTCCGGCGGATATCTCATATCCAAACCTCTACTCATCGTAATGCCTACCATATGTGTGTGACTCTCTAGGCCTAATATCGAGCTAGCTATGAGTCATACCTGTCAGAACTCCGTCTAACTTAGTGAATTATTATCTCTATAATAATTCACTCGAATCATCGACTACGGATGTACTAGGCCACTACGCCGTAGTCCCTAGACGATATAGGAGAATCCAATCCATTGGACCTATCTATCCTCAATTACCGTATACCTATAGGCCCTCATTCATCTAATATCACAGAGATTATATATCGGGCATAGTGTTGTCAGACCTATACGGTTTCTTCTCGAGTCTCGCTCTAATCGGATTTTCTCAGAGAACTCTTTCTCTCTCAATCCGAATGACCTTGGTTAGGGATTTATTTGAGCAAGAACACATGGGATATTCCTCTTATGATGTCGAGAGTGGATGATCCTCTATCGATACTCAATAGCCCTCATAAGGTCGACTGCCACTCCCAATGACCAACTGTACTAGATCTGGGATATCCAAACCTATAAGTCTGGTATCAAAGAGTGGAACACTTATATAGGACATCCTTGGTATATCAAGTCTAAGGACCATATATACCACTACGACTACGGAATCACTGTCTGACAATAAGACATCATCAACCATCTAGCATTCCGTAAGTGGATCAATCAGTGAACTCATTTTCTAATGAGCACCTGTACTGTATCCCTAGTGTCCCCACACGAGCAACTATGAGACCAACCGTATCCATCATATGGACGGGTATACAACATACCAATCTGTCCGGTTATCACGATGTCCCTCTCGAGTAACCTATGACTGGGATTATTTAGGATCTGTGTTTAAAGGTGAATCGATCTCATTATCGTGATCTCATCATGATCTGATTCCCATTGCACAGATCCAAGGACATCACAATATATACATGCATATGTGCAATAGTTAATATTAAGTGATAAATACCAAAATATAATAAGTAAAAAGATTCCATGTCAAGTCACACGTGCCATCACTCACGTGATTGGCTTATTGGGCACCTATGACTAGCAGAGGGCACTTCTGATAAATGTCCCTCCAAAACTTAAGTTAGTGATCTAGTCTGACAAGTTTGACTAAGAGAGTAAGTGTCCTGAAATATACCTCGGGGCTTCTTTTTATAGTAGCCATTTAGAATCATTATGCTGCCCATTACACACTTTGTGTAGTAATAGGAACGTGGAGTTCAATCGTAACTATCAGTATCCTACATTGAAACCAAAATTACATGGTTGTATCTAAGTGGCATGCATCGGGCGTATTTAGCTTGCCTCATTAATTGATTGACTATTTTAAGCCTAAGTGGTAGCAAGTCATTGGCCGAGTACCAAACATGATAGGTGGGCTAGTTGGCTATGTAGAGCTAATGTCTCCTTTACATGGAAGAGGGGTGTCGGCTGGTGAGGTTGGTTGGTCGGCCATGTGTTCTTGACATGTTGATCGAGTGGAGCCAAACCGTTTCGTAAAGATATTAATTTGAAAGCGTAAGGTCACTCTTATGTGGTTTAAAACCCAAGAGAGATGGTATTTGTCGGCAATCAAGAGGGTCATTCAATTTCACGTTCGCTCATGTTTAATGGGACGGATTACATATATTGGAAGACTAAAATGAGGATCTTCCTAATTTCAATAGTTTTCGAATTATGGAACATTGTAGAAAGTGGGTTTCAAAAGTCTACTCTTCCAAAGAATGATTGGAATGAGTTAGAGAAGAAGACTTTCGCTTTAAATGCCAAGGCTATGAATACCTTGTTTTGTGCTTTGGATAAAAATGAGTTCAATCGAGTATTCATTTATGAAATAGCTTTTGATATTTGGCACACACTCGAAATTACTCATAAAGGCACTAGTAGAGAAATGAGTCAAAAATTAATCTTTTAGTCCAGTAAAGGAGTATGATTTTATCTTTCAATAATCTTATTCTATTGTGATATATCTAGTAAATCATATTGAACATAAATATCATTTTTTTTTAGGAATCTAGCAAAAGAACTATAATTATGATTGGGTTCATCATAATTATTAAAAATTTATCACCCTTGTCAAATGATAATTTTGACTTTTCTATCTAATTATCTCTCAACTTCATTTATGTACACTTAAAGGTGTCAACAACTTAAGACTTTATATAAATTAGATATATATAGTCATATCTCAATAGATTACCTATAAAAGTGATAAAATATCACTCTTTATTAAAATAAAAATATGGAGTAACCCATAGATGTAAGCATATATAATCTTAAGGAGTTTATAAAACTATTTTTTACCTCAATATTTGATTACAATATTGTTGTAAACTCAATATTCACATTAATTATGTATAGACCATTATACATAATTCAATGATTAACTTTTTATTGAATCATTTTAAGTTTATGACTATCAAAAGAAAAATAATATGTTGATAATTCTAGATAAAAAAAACTAAATTTTTAGAATTATAAGAATATAATATGTATTCTCAAGATCCATCAATTGAATCATCTCTAGGCATAGGTGATAAGTACTAACTAGTATTAGTTTGCTTTAAGATAATTCTTTGTAATGATGAATTTGTTAGGATCGAGAGCACTAAGGAGGGGGGGGGGGGTAATTAGTGCAGCGGAAATCTTACAGCGATTAAATCAAAAGCTGCGTTCGTTCAATAAAAACTNTTATGATGCAAAAGCTAATTCTCTAGTTTGTAT